CAAATTCTTCATTAATTTTCATCCAAATTTCCCGTATTCAGTTCCATTTGGAGCTGCGTGCCTTAGGGCCATTGGAAATAATCACATTGTCACCTCCTACCCCTGTGTTTTAGAAACAGTCCACATTGACTCAAATTTCAGTACATCTCACTTTGAGTAAGAGTGATGTGGAGCACTGAGGACACTGCCTTTCCTAGACCCCCCCTCCAACTCCGAATTTCAGTGGCTCTCGTTGGGGCTCAGTGGTTTGTATCTCTAACGGGCTCCGAATCACAATCCAGTGCTGCCCGTTTAGAGCTGAACTGTAGTAGCACTGAACAGCTGCACAGGTGGCAGTGGGCCTGAAGTGTGAGGACAGGAGACAACAGAACCACGGGGTCGGCCATATCTGCAGGGCAGATGGGTAGAGGGGTGGTGTGCCAGTCCTGAAAGAGCTCTCTAGAATAAGGCTTCTTCTCCTTTTTCACAGAAGCAAATCCAGAGAAATTCAACAGTCGTTTTCGAAATAAAATGTTCTATGCTGGGGTAAGTGTATATACATATACATATACATATACATATACATATACATATATATATATGTTTTATTTGTATTGTATATTACTGAATACCAATTCACTGAGTCGTGGGTACTGTACATTAAAAATGGTAACATATGCATCACACAGTTATATTTATGTTTACATATTATTTATTGTCTTTGTTTAACAGTGAAAGTAAGGCTGTGTTTTCTAAATGAGTAGTAGAAAGGGAGATGGTGATGAGCGTCCTGGAATTTGTAAAGCCCAGATTCCATGTGTTACAAGAGTAGATTATATTCAAGAATGTTTTAGAAAGCAGACATCAAAGCCAGTTTCAGGAGGGAGACGTTGCGTAGAATGAAAAATGGATAGTCATAGATTAGAATGTAGTTCTCGGATATATCCATGCAAAATTGGAAGAAGAAAAAAAAAAGAAAGAAATATATAAGAAATTAAGGAGAGAAAAAGGAGAAACAATTGAAAAAAGGAGACAAAACAAATTAACCATTATCTGCTCCTTCCCATAGACCAGCAGAAATGCACAGTACGGTTGTCCACGCCGTCCTGCTTACATACGTAGTTAACTCTCTTTCCCCCACTCCCTCTAATAACTGGTTGGAAGACAACACTATGTACTACAACAAATGCTATGAAATTTGTATTACTTTGTTAAGTGAAGTACCGTATCACTTGGAATTTTTCTGTTTTAATACTAGTTTGTACTCTCTTTAAAAATAAAAAATAATTGGGGCTGGGGAGATAGCTCAGTAGAATAAGTACTTCCCTGGCAAGCACAAGGGCCTGAGTTCAATCCCCAGTTCCACCAAAAAAAAATTTAAGAATTAAAAAAAAATAATAATTTAAAAAGGCAAATTCTAGAATGTAGTTCTCACCAGGGCGTCATGCCACCTTGCCATTCAGGTGGGAAAGTAGCCAAAGGTGAGAAGTTTTTCATGGACTCACATATGAGATAAGAGGAAGCTCCTTCTTTTCTTCTTCAGAGACATACTAGGTTCTGTTGGGAAGTCCCAGAATTTTGGCCATGACCCTGGTCTTCAGGGTCCCCACAGTATGGGGATGGGCAGAGATTGGGGAAAGGCATTAAGTATTAATTACAAGTACAGTTTCAATTGATCCTAATGACCAGAGGGAAAAAATAAAAGGACATAAAGCAGGACGATCTTACTGTCAAGTTAAAAGTTATTTTAGCATCTAATGTTCCAAAGGGTAGTATGGAAGTACAGTCAGAATAAATTGATCCTTGGGATTTTCCATATCCTTGTTTTTTTCTGGTGATTTTAAATTTTATTTCCATTGTTCTTTGAAAATAAAAATTTCTATTTTGCTAGCCATTGCCCTGCTTTATTTTGGATTGAGAAAAAGGTTCAAGTCAACAATTTCTGAC